GGATGGAACCCATCTAGAGTTGGTTACTTTAATTCAAACTCTTTAAAATTTGCTTTATTGCAAACTGCTGGGAAACTTACCGTCACAGAAGGTGTTGCTAGTGAGGAAAATTCTTGTTGTTTCCCTTATATACTCGTGCCAACTGTTCTGTTGTGCCGCTGAGATGCTTGTTGTTTTGCTCCTGCTGCTGTTGTCTTTCGGCTTGGAACCGCAAATCCGGTCTTTTCTAAAAACAGCGGGGTCAAACTCTCGCAATGTGATGCTATCGATGGCCACTCGAGACAACAACGTCGAAAACTGTTTTGTTTGTTCCAACAGTTACTCCGAACTACATGCAGTGACCTTTCCAAACTGATGATGCCTAACTGTTAAGGCCTTCAATTAGAAAGCGTTCTCTTAAGTCAGCGCTTCTCCATTTCGAGCTAAGATTGAAAACTGTTACTTTTGTAATTTTGTTATTTTGAACGCCAGAATTTTGACTAAGTTAAATGCAGCGTAGCCTTTTCCTTTTTCTATCTCGAGAGTAGGGATTTTTGGAGAATGGAAGTTGAGCATTGACTCTGCTTTTTAGCTTTACAATTTTACATATTTATGACCATTTTTACTTGCGTTACTCCAGTTCTGCTAGTAGCGTTGGAACTTCTTCTTTACATTAACAACGTCAAGCATTTGGCTTTAGTGAAAACGTTAAACAAATGATTTTTTGAACTTCTCATATACATTAAAACTGACACCTAATTGCCTAATTGCACTGCAACTGCTCTGTAATTCTAAGGTCAAAAAAATCACGACTTATATATTTGTGTTATTTATCTACCAATAATCTTGAATTCTGCATTTGATGCAAAAGCATGTACATTTTATGCAAACGATTCCCTTTACACAGCAAGGGGTTATCCCTGATATATAACGTAGAAGCGCTGGATGTTCGATTCTTGAATGTATGCATAGCGCGACTCCAGCACATGTTGAATGCCAAGTAAAGTTCTCGTGCAAATATATTTGAATGTTTTGTCTTTTTGCGTGGTTGTATGTGTAATGGATATATTCTCTTATGCAGCGAAACCAAGGAATGTCTGACGAAATACTTTCCGTAAGAAAGCTGCACAATATCTTTATTGCGACAGAGTAAA